CTCGGGCAATTAACGATGAGTCTCGAATATGTCACGAGAGAACGGTCGACATAATTTATCGGTGATCGAACGGATCGATCTATTACTTTGCACCTCACCTCGTCTCGCCTCGCCTCGCCCATGGCTTGAAAGGGAAGAAAAAGGAAAAAGAAAGAAAAAGAAACAGCAATCACGATCAATCGCGATGAATTGAATCGGGGCTCGACTCGCGTTTCACTCCTTTGTGCGATTGTTGCGAGAGGCGCGTGAATGGATCCGAGTAATTCCTTTCTCGAGATCGCACGAATTGATCCTCGTGATCTTAATCGACGGGCTCGATGGCCGGGAAGAACGTATAATTGATTTAAGCTCGAAAGAGGAACGCTTTTAACTCTGATTTGCGATCCGAACACGTCGCGAGGCTCATTGTGTAATTTCGGGTACGCTTCCTGCTCGGGCATGGCCAAATAATAAGCGGCCCGGGACAGTTGCTCGCAGATTGATCTTTACGAGTTCCGTGACACCGAAATCGCGCAGCGCTCGCTTTCGCATCGGAACGAATTTAACGAACCGTCGCGGACCACGCGCTTCTCTCCGTGAGAGGCTTGGTTTCATGAACCCTTAGCGCTCCGTTGGCTCCGCTATGGAGACATCCGTCGTTTGTTCCGTAAATCCGAAGGCTCTGCTGCGGAGCCCAATGTTGTTAGCATGATTACACCGAAGATGCTACGTTTTTGTCGACGTTGACAATTGTTATTTGTAGTGAAAACGTGCTTAGCGTGTGTACCATTACGGTTAAAACATTTTTTGCCCATTTTCATACTTGGCAACATAAAATGAATAAAATCAAACGCTTTCGCAAGGACGTGTAATCTTTTCCGCTCAAAATAAGACTTCCTTTATCTCAGGCGCTTTGCTCCAAAAATGTGCCGGAGTTGCTGGTAGTGATATTTTTCAGAAAAACGCTGTTCAACTTTATTTTAGAACGTCCGAAGAATGTTTACTAATTTTTAATTTAATTTAATTATTAATCGAGCCGANTGAACGCGCGCTATTCAATGATTATTAACAATCGCGTGGATATTGTCAAAACGGATCAGCTCGGGCAATTAACGATGAGTCTCGAATATGTCACGAGAGAACGGTCGACATAATTTATCGGTGATCGAACGGATCGATCTATTACTTTGCACCTCACCTCGTCTCGCCTCGCCTCGCCCATGGCTTGAAAGGGAAGAAAAAGGAAAAAGAAAGAAAAAGAAACAGCAATCACGATCAATCGCGATGAATTGAATCGGGGCTCGACTCGCGTTTCACTCCTTTGTGCGATTGTTGCGAGAGGCGCGTGAATGGATCCGAGTAATTCCTTTCTCGAGATCGCACGAATTGATCCTCGTGATCTTAATCGACGGGCTCGATGGCCGGGAAGAACGTATAATTGATTTAAGCTCGAAAGAGGAACGCTTTTAACTCTGATTTGCGATCCGAACACGTCGCGAGGCTCATTGTGTAATTTCGGGTACGCTTCCTGCTCGGGCATGGCCAAATAATAAGCGGCCCGGGACAGTTGCTCGCAGATTGATCTTTACGAGTTCCGTGACACCGAAATCGCGCAGCGCTCGCTTTCGCATCGGAACGAATTTAACGAACCGTCGCGGACCACGCGCTTCTCTCCGTGAGAGGCTTGGTTTCATGAACCCTTAGCGCTCCGTTGGCTCCGCTATGGAGACATCCGTCGTTTGTTCCGTAAATCCGAAGGCTCTGCTGCGGAGCCCAATGTTGTTAGCATGATTACACCGAAGATGCTACGTTTTTGTCGACGTTGACAATTGTTATTTGTAGTGAAAACGTGCTTAGCGTGTGTACCATTACGGTTAAAACATTTTTTGCCCATTTTCATACTTGGCAACATAAAATGAATAAAATCAAACGCTTTCGCAAGGACGTGTAATCTTTTCCGCTCAAAATAAGACTTCCTTTATCTCAGGCGCTTTGCTCCAAAAATGTGCCGGAGTTGCTGGTAGTGATATTTTTCAGAAAAACGCTGTTCAACTTTATTTTAGAACGTCCGAAGAATATTTACTAATTTTTAATTTAATTTAATTATTGATCGAGCCGATTCCAGTGAAGATTAACAATAAAAAAATTCCGACGAACTCACGCAAAAGATATTTCTGTTTCGATAATTCCGTATCCAAACAGAATTCAGCGGACGATTCGCGATGCTAATTTTATAATAAATCGCGTCAAAGAACACGAGGGATATATTTATTTAAGAATTGTGAAGAATATTGTTAATAGTAAATTTACCCGTTTCGATGAGGATGCATTTGCTGCTTGGAAGTTTCGGTCACAATTCACGATGTCGATGCACCGACCTCGCACAATGTTAAGTAGATACCATTACGATTAAAACATATTTTGCCCACTTTCATACTTAGCAACATAAAATGAATAAAATCAAACGCTTTCGCAAGAACGTGTGATCTTTTCCGCTCAAAATAAGACTTCCTTTATCTCAGGCGCTTTGCTCCAAAAATGTGCCGGAGTTGCCCAGAAACGTACTCGAGAAACGCGTGGAGCGCTAAGAGTTATACAATGCCGCGAACATCGTTGAACGTTTGAAAAATGACGGCGCGGCGCGTTCCATCATTCGATTTCCTCGTTATTCTTCGCGGCCGCAGTTCCACGGTGTAACGGCCGAGCGGTTTCATGAAAGTTTATGAACACGGTCAATTGAATACAATCGTGAAATTAAATGAAGCAATTTGATCGTGTTGTACGGGCCCCGTGACCGTCGCGTCCCCCCCACACGGATATAGAGAACACTCGGATGCAGTTTCGCTAATGCAGCTTGATGAATAGGCTTGCGAATCGTTGTGCGGCCACAGCGCCTCGAGTCCTCTGAACTCGAGTCACCCAAGTTGCTCAATTATGCGGGCTTCGTTAATTCGTACGTAGCTCCTGCACTTTCAGACATTCATTTCGCGAATCACATTCGTCGCGTCGAACTACATAATTGTTGCACGCGAAGAAGCAATCAAGGACTATTTTGCAACATGAATCGTTAGGATCCTGAAGTTTTTATATACGTATATTTTTGATTCATGCAAAAACTGCACACTCTCGAGACGATCGTTGATCCGCTTGGTCCCGATACGAATAGCAGACACGCGTATTAACTAAACAAAAAATTGGAGTTTCCAACAAGAAAAATATAAAAATGAACCGAAGTTCCACGTTGTCGGGCGAAGTCGCGCGTGTGCAACGCGAAGGTTCGACCGCGCCTAGCTGCACTTTCCACGATAATTAACTGCGGCGCTATCCCGGTCACGTGACACTCGTTAGTTGTTATTCCATTGGTTGATTCGTCCTCAGGCAAATCGTAAGAATAGCGCAAGAGGAGAGATGCCGGCGCATAACAATGACCATACGCGCTGGCAAACTGAAACGTGTCATAACTCGTTGAATTCCAACATCGAGAGCCTATAATTAGTCATTGTAGTGAGAGTCGAGAGGCAACGAACAGATAGCTTCGATATTTAGTAGAATATGGGGGATATATGTACGTGTATAGTGGCGAAACGTCGTTCGAGGCGAGCTGGAATTTTACTCCGCTGTTGGATAATGAACCAGGAATTGGTTGATATTAAGTGACAGGAAGAATTAGGGACGGGTTTGTAGCATGGTATGCAATCTTTATGTACTGGAAGCCGAATGAATAGAATTTTTAATCGCTGTGCTATACCGTAACAGAGAGAAATCTAGACAATGATTTTCTACATGGCAATCCCAAACGAAAGCATCAGATAATGCCGCACTAAATAATTGATTACGAAGCTTTTAACTGCAAATTGTGGACTTTCGAAGATTGCAAAATCATCGAAACCGAATCTTTTTTATTACTACGAGGTTCCTTAAACGACGAAAACCTTGCCAACGAATTTGTTCCAATTATTAAACTGCAGAATTGTATGCGAAATGAAAATGGCCTGCATTAATCGCAAACAGCAACAATCTAAATGTGTTTTATTCTTAGCATTAAAGATTCTTTTTAGCATAAATTCCGCAGTCTATCGATTACACAATATTTTGGAAATAATGGAGAATGTAAGAGACGCATAATTAATAGAGTACATAATTTTGGTCCGATAATGATTGCAACTGGTACACCAGTCTCTAGTTGGCCTCGCGAGGTGGTTTAAAATAGCCAGGGTATAATTCATAATTAAACACTATACGATCGTATCGAGCTGTTCCATAAATAACCGAATACACGGCGCGATGTGTATTCGCAACCATTCGATAACAGCTGCATAATTTGTTATCCCAAAGCAAGCCGCGACAAAGTGTTGCGAATTCCCCGGGGTTTTCAGCGAGGATTATTCGCGGTGATGTGCAAAGAGGCAGCCTGGCGAGGAATTCCTTCGGAAGCCGAGTGTCGATGGCGGTTTTGAGGATTTTAAGCAGCGGGTCGCGTTCAAACAGATAATCTTGACTTGACCAACCGCGGAAGTTGCCGTGGAACGTGATCGTTGAAAAGGCTGCACGAGAAAACCGTGGGATTCCGAGAAGTGTTTAGGTAAAGAACCTCTTGTCGCGACGAACACCCGTCCCGTTCCGTCCCGTTCCGACCCGACGCCGCGCCACGCCAGGCCACTCCACGTTCATTTCTGATCTAGACTGGTATTTCCTCCCGGAGATCTTCTTTTAGATCTCCGAGCGACGTCACGCTCTTCGTGCCGTTTGAAAAGGGTCTTGCTTGTAAACGAGGAATCGGTTAGTCCGTGGAAACACTCGCTCGTCAGTATCCACGGGCCGGATGCGAGAAATCTAACGCGTTTCCTCTTTTCACAACAAAATCTCTCGAGTTTAATATGCAAGCGAGGCGTCTGCATTCCCTATCATTCGCGAATACAACGATTCAATCGGTCATAGGCCGATAATAATTTGGCAGAGAATTTCGTCGTCCTCCGTACTTATCAGCGTTACAAGCCGTACATAATGAATGATCTACTCACGCTTTTACTGTGGCTGGTGCTGTGCGTGTGATGCGTGTCGATCTTCATGTTGGCGCATCGGTTCAAAGCATGCAGTCGTCGGAATAAACTTTGCAGAGAATCAGTCTCGAGGAAGGGGTGGTCCTTGGCCACGCCAGATACGTCTATCGGGAACTGATAATCTGTAACAAAAGAGAAATACACGCTCAACGATCGTTCGATACTATCAACGATCATTCGAGTCGATAATTGGCAAAATTAAGGGCAACAATTTCAAATTAACGTTTCGGACCTTCTAGAAGTAAAGTTCGTGTGTATCGAACATTCTGGATGTACTAGAAGTAAATATTATTTTGTCAGCTATTTTTTATAGATTTTTATGAAACACGAAGAGCATCGCTTGGCGAACGACTCGCTATAGATTGTAACACATCACTCAATAAGCCTCCGGACCAGCTAAGAGAAACAAATTTTTTTTTAGAAATTCGACTTTATCCGTCAACATACTCTTCTTTAAGAGCGATACATTCGTTCCAATGCTCCTTTAACTTTTCGATGCCTTTTTTGTAGAACGATTTGTCTTCGTTCTCAAAATAGGCCTCCGTTTCGGCAATCGCTTCAGCATTTGAGCCAAATTTCTTTCCCTGGCGCATCTTTTTAATGTCTGCAAAAAGCCAGTAGTCGCTGAGGGTTAAATCTGGAGACTACGGTGGGTGGGGAAGCAATTCGAAGCGTAATTCGTTCAATTTAACCATCGCTTAACCGCGCTCCGAATCGTCGACACGTTGTTGTTTTTGATCCGGTGTGAGCAAACGTGGCACCTACTTCGAAAGCAATCTACACATGCTCAAATTGTTGTGTAAAATTGTAAACACGCTATCTTCTGATATCTTTAAGGGTCTGCTATCTCACGCAATTTCACTATACGGTCTTTCAAAACTATCTTGTGGACTTTTTTTATGTTTTTCGGAACAACTGCCGATTTTGGGCAATCAGAGCGTTCAGCATCATCGGTATTTGTACATCCGCGATTAATTTTAGCATACCAGTCAATAATAGTCGATTTCCCTGGTGCAGAGTCTTCGTAACGCTTATTAAGCCACTGTTTGGCTTCAACGGTATTTTCCCCCATCAAAAAACAATGTTTAATCGATACACGAAATTCTTTTCTAATCATTGTTTTGAAAATTACAAAACTGGGGTCACTAAAACCACTGTAACCTGTAAACTAATCATCAAAATGTCATGAAATTTTTACATGAAGAATGCTACTATCCAGAAATCATATAGGTTTGTCAACAGTGTTGCCATGTATGTGTCAGACCGGAGACTCATTGAGTGACGTGTTATGTAGATGAAATGAACAAGAGCTCCTTATCATCGATTCGTTCGTACACTTGACAATCAAATATCGGTCGTGCCGAAAGGAAAGTACGCTGCGATCGAACGCGTTGATAAACTAAAAATATCTTTTTAATTACGTAGAACACGTGTTTCGGTCGCAGCAAATTAACCGGTATAAAAAAGAGATCGCCTCGATCGTCAATTTCTGCTTAATTTATTTAATTAAACGTTTCAGCGCTCATTGTATCGCGTATCTCATAGAGTAGACAACTTGAATTTAATTGGCTTCCGAAGGTCACTTTCTCCACCGTGAATCACACTGGGACACGACTTCTAACTCGACACACCCTCTTTCCGATCCTTCTGCTGTAGAGGTAACGAAACAATAAGGGGAAAAGGTAATCCCTTGTGGCCTTCAGCAGCTAGTCGATCTTAATCCGTCGGTAGAATGACTCGACGATGTGGCTTATCCGACGAACCTCGCCGTCGCCGCAATTTAGGACTACAGGAACCTACGCAAAGTGGACTCCGACCGTACTGTTGTCACGTTAAGTGTTCATAATTGCTTGTAATCGTCACCTCTTAGCCGTGTTGTATAACACTGTCGAGGAAACGCAAAAAAAGCATAGAACAAACAAAAGCGACGAATACAAAGAAAATCCAAATTTTTCGTATTTACTTCAGTCTCGATTGCATCCGACGATACTTATCGAACTGTGTGTATCGCGTGCTGCTTTCATTATCACAGTTTTCTCATGCAATCGGTATCAATAATAAACGTCGATCGACACACAACGTGCCAGCAGGGAGAGAAAGAAATCAAGGGCGTACGTTCGTATGTGCACGATCGGTCAAGCTACTTCCTGCAGGTGCGCGTTTTAATATCACGCACTCGTTTCATTATAATAATTACTCCGACTGTTATTTGTATCAGCGAACAAGTTCGTTTACCAGAGTTCGCTTTAAACTATCCGTCAGTCATAACGATAATAAACAACTTTCGCAATGATATCTTGTTCGTTGCAAGATCGCCGAGTTACGGTTTCAAAGTAAAACTGAAGACAGACATTGGATTTGATGCATTTACTTTTTCCTTTCTTAACAGAATTCATCTACAGGGTGTCCCAAAAATGTCTCGTAATCCGAAAGTGGCGAGTTCCTCGGGTCATTTGAAACAACTTCTTCCTTTACAAAAATTTTCTCCGAGGCACCGTTAACGAGTTATCAACGAAAAACAGTGACCAATGAGAGGCGAGATCAGCTGCCACGAGGTGGCCGAGCCAACGGCGCCAGCGGTCGAGGCCGTCGAATCCCAGCTCAGCTGGCGCGAGCCGGCCGAGTCAACGGCGCCAGCGGTCGAGTCGGTCGAATCCCAGCTCAGCTGGCGCGAGGCGACCGAGCCAATGAGCGGAACTGGGCTTCGTGCGCTGGTTGGCTGCGCCGCCTCGCGTCAGCCGAACGCGATTCTTATTGGTTACTGTTTTTCGTTAATAACTCGTTAACGGTGCCTCGGAGAACATTTTTGTAAAGGAAGAAGCTGCTTCAAATGATCTGAGGAACCCGCCATTTCCGGATTGCGAGACATTTTTGGGACATCCTGTACATTAATATTGGCACTGCGTCTCTCTCTAAAAAAGTTAAAGACACGAAGATTCGAATCGAAACCTAGCTCTCGGCGACGGATGTATCTCAACTGGAAAGAAAAATATTAACTCTTGCTATTATTATTATTATTATTATTATTATTACTATTACTATTACTATTACTATTACTATTACTATTATTATTATTATTATTATTATTATTATTATTATTATTATTGTTGTTATTATTATTATTGTCATTATTATTATTGTTATTATTATTATTATTATTATTGTTATTGCCGAAAGTGTGCACACGTTTAATACCGAGTCGCCGCGTTGATTCCGAGAATACCCGCGGCTCGCATAAGCTGTTACGGCAGCGTGTAAACGAGGCAATTGTGGAATCTGACGTAGGTAAGAATTCAAAGAAACGGAAGACGTATAGCCGCGCAAGGTAGAAGGATCGCCGCGAAGGATCCCAGGGCGAAAGGGACACAAAGGAAAGTCTTGTGCGTCCGTTTCCTCGAAGTCGGAGCGCGGCGGGCCCGACGATTTTCATATCTCCTCGCCTGTTATCAACTTTCACCCGAAACACAACGTGTTGCGGTTCGGCAACAGAAATGACATTACTCTCGACTCTTGGGTAGATCCACGGGTCAACCGATCCGTCTCTGTCCTCTTTCGTCCAATCCAGTGAATCGTGAACGTAAGCTTGCCGACCGGACGCGGACAACGGACGCTCCGTTCAAACTTCGGATGACCTCCATCAACGGCTTGCGCAACGCCGGCACAGATCTCCTGAACCAGATCTTGGATCTATGATCTCACAACTCACAACCCTGGATCGATCGGAGCTATGTTTCGCTCGGTCGAGTATTTCGACCGGTTGTTTCGGCCAAAACTATTTTGGCATGCGTGTTCCGAGGTTCAAGGTCGTGATGCGCGTAGCAGGTCGTTGGATTTTCATTGACAAAAGTCTTCGAGATTATCAGAAATGCTGGTTAACACGTTCCGTGCCGAGCTTTTTTTACTCGAATCTTCACACTTTGATATTTTACTAAAACTTGATGTATTACGTGCAATTATTAATTCTCGTACACATAACAACGTAACAAAAACTTATCAACGCCCATTCTTGCGGTGGAAATTGATTCTTCGGTTCTAAATTTCTTGTAAACAATTTGTTCAGTTCACTAAGTAAACATGCAAGCGTGTACCATCGATGGTACACGTGGCACGGAACGTGTTAATTGATCGTTACGGTTTACAAAACCCGTCAGAATGACAAGTCACTAATTTTTTAATTTACGATTATTCATATCGTAAAGATATATTCATGAGTTATTTATTCACTTACAATAACACTTGTTAAAAATCAGAATAAACGTCTTATTATTACTTTTAGAAATTAATATAAAACAGCTGCTTTTTTTGTGCTCCGTAAATCTAGCGTTAATCATTACGGTTTCAAGTATTTTATAAAATCGTATCATTTCGCAGTATTCAAAGATCGACGACTATTTGTTAAGATTAAGTTTATACGACGATTATTCATATCGTAAAGATATATTCATGAGTTATTTGTTCACTTACAATAACACTTGTTAAAAATCAGAATAAACGTCTTATTATTATTTGTAGAAACTAATATAAAACAGCTGCTTTTTTTGTGCTCCGTAAATCTAGCGTTAATCATTACGGTTTCAAGTATTTTATAAAATCGTATCACACATTTCGCAGTATTCAAAGATCGACGACTATTTGTTAAGATTAAGTTTATACAATTCGATAAAAGCGTAATAATACATAGAAACCTACACGTGCATAGTTATACATTTCGATTTTGATAACAATGCAATCCATTGGACACAAGGTAGTCTCTCTTAGTTATAACGATGGGTTAAGACGTTTCTGATTTGTACAATGGCGTGGTTCATCTCGTTTCTAGCAATCGAGTGTCTACGGTGCAATAAATATTTGTAGAATTTCGTACAGCCATCGCCGAAAAGAGATGGCAGCCGATTGGTTAAAGGTGAGAAAGACGTCAGGATACAGTTAAGATCGGATGGTTACGAAACGATATCTCATCGAGATATCGAGATCGGGCCGCGGCCGAGAAGATGTACACCGTGTCTTCTAAGATCATCCGTCGATTGAAAAAAAAAAGAAAGAAAGAACGAAGATTTTGGATAAGCAAGATGCGTATGTAAATTCGACGTTCTAGCCGGATGAAAGCGTGTGAATCGGTTGA